CAATGCTGTTCTCTTGAAACATCCCACCCTCGCCTTCTCCCAGAGTCCACAAGTCTGTTCTATACATAGGAGTCTCTTTTTCTGTTTTGCACATAGGGTTATCGTTACCATCTTTCTAAATTCCATATATTTGGGTGGAGAGGGAGGTGGGAGGGGGGACCGGGATGGGGAATACATGTAAAAAAAAAAAAAAAGATACACTATGGTTGTGATAAAAAAAATAAATTAATTAATTAAAAAAAAAAAGAAATTGGACAGTTGAATTTGACACAAGAATTATTGAGTTGATTAAAACCAACGAGAAAGCAGAGGAGAGGCATCTGTCCCATAATGTGGGGTCAGGAAAGGCTTCTAGAAAAGCCTGTGTGTGTGTGTTAGTTGCTCAGTCATGTCTGACTCTTTGTGACTCCATGGACTGTAGCCCACCAGACTCCTCTGTCCATGGAATTCTCTAGGCAAGAATACTGGAGTGGGTTGCCATGCCCTCCTCCAAATGATCTTCCCAATCCAGGGATTGAACCCAGGTCTCCTGCATAGCAGGCAGACTCTTTATCATCTGAGCCACCAGGGAAGCCCAGAAAATCCAGTACTGGTGCAGAAACCAAAAGAAGAGAACCAGACAAAGAGCAGTTTGGGGAAGAATGTATTCTAGGCAGAAGGAAGCACCTGGATCATAAGGAAGGAGGCTTGGTATTAATAATAACAGTTTTTCCAATTATTGCACTGGAAGTGTTGGTCAAGGCCATCGACAGTCCCATGTTTCCAAACACCATGGTCAAGTCCCTGTCTTTGTCTCCCTTGACCTCGCTATAGCACTAGGTCCACGGCCCTTTTCTTGAATATGTTCCCTCCTTGGCTTCTAATACTGTGGACACCTGGTTCTCTCCCAGCCCTGGAGCGACTCCCTGACTACAATTTACCGAGCAGCCCAAGTGAAAGATGGTGGAGTCATCCTCCATCCTCCTCTTTCAGTGAGCTTGTTGGCTGCACTGTCACGGTGTCTCCCCTGTCCCACCACTTCTCACCACCTCCCGTCCACCACTCTGGTTCACCCGGCCAGCATCTCTCTCCTGAGATACCTCCCCTCTGCTTCTCCTCTTGTTGCAGGTGGTTCGTGGTCTGTGTGTCATCCAAAGAAATCTTTAAAAAATGAAAATCAGCCCATGCCATTCCCACTGCTTAAATTCCTGCAATGACTTCTCATTTCCCCATAAAGACCGGCCAAATCCTGACTACAGTGAAAAGGCCCTTATGAGCCGGCCCGCTGCTACCCATCCCACTGGATCTCCTGACACTCTGCTTCTCACACGGCCCATGCCAGTATAACTGGCCTCCTTTGCTCTCCATCAAACGTGCTCACCTAAGGGTCTCCCCCGACACCCATCTTAAACATCAGTCACCCCACCTACCACCCTCTGCTTCTTTATTCTGCTTCGTTTTCCATCTTGGCACCTAAGTACCACTACCTGATACAATGTCTGTCTGTAGACTTACCATCTGCCTCTTTAACCAGACTATGAGTCTTGTGAAGGCAGAGACTTTGTGTTACTTACTGCTTGGTCTCCAGTGCCTGAAACATGGTCTGGCACCCAGTAGGACTCCATCACAGTGTTGGTTGAATGAATAAATGTACTAATAATCTGGCATAGTGACCCACCAAACATGTCTTAAGTCCTAATTCCCAGAACCTATGAATATGACTTGTTATGGCAAAAGAGACTTTGCAGTACATCAAGGCTATATTTTGTCACCCTGCTTATTTAACTTATATGCAGAGTACATTTTATGTGAAATGCCAGGCTAGATGAAGCACAAGCTGGAATCAAGATTTCCAGGAGAAATATCAGTCACCTCAGATATGCAGCTGACACTACCCTATGGCAGAAAGTGAAGAGGAACTAAAGAGACTCTTGATGAAGGTAAAAGAGGAGAGTGAAAAAGCTGGCTTGAAATTCAGTATTCAAAAAAATGAAGATCATGGCATCCGGTGCCATCACATCATGGCAAATAGATGAGGAAACAATGGAAATAATGAGAGACTTTATTTTCTTGGGCTCCAAAATCACTGCAGATGGTGACTGCAGCCATGTCATAGCTTTTCTCCCAGCTTGGTTCTTGGAAGAAAAGCTATGACCATCCTATACAGCATATTATGAAGCAGAGACATTACTTTACCATATAGTCAAAGGTCTGTATAGTCAAAGTGATGGTTTTTCCAGTGGTCATGTGTGGATGTGAGAGTTGGACCATAAAGAAGGCTGAGTGCTGAAGAATTGATGCTTTTGAACTGTGGTGTTGGAGAAGACTCTTGAGAGTCCCTTAGACTGAAAGAAGATCCAGCCAGTCAATCCTAAAGGAAATCAGTCCTGAATATTCATTGGAAGGACTGATGCTGAAGCTGAAAACTCCAATACTTTGGCCACCTGATGAGAAGAGCCAACTCATTAGAAAAGACCCTGATATTGGGAAAGATAGAGGGCAGGAAGAGAAGGGGATGACCGAGGATGAGATGGTTGGATGGCATCACTGCCTCAATGGACATGAGTTTGAGCAGCTCTGGACAGGGAAGCCTGGTGTGCTGCAGTCCATGGGGTCACAGAGAGTCAGACACGACTGAGCAACTGAACAACAAGGACTTTGAAGATGTGATTAAGGATTTACAGATGGTGGGCATTGTCCTCGATAATCCCAGTGGGTCCTAAATATAATGAGAAGTGTCCTTACAAGAAGGAAGCAGGACTCACAGCCTGAAGAGAAAGCGAAGACAGAAGCAGGGATTGGAGGATGCACTTTGGAGATGAAGGAAGGGGCCATAAGCCAAAGAATGCAGGCAGGCCTAGATGCTGGAAGAGGCCAGGCAAAGGATTCTCCCCTGGAGCCTCCAGAAGGAGCCAGCCCAGCTGACCTTGACTTTGGCCCAATGACACTGATTTCAGACTTCTGGTCTCCAGAACCATAAGAGAACAAGTGTGTGTTGTTTTAAGCACTGAGTTTGGGCTGATTTGTTACAGCCACAATAGGAAATACATACAAATACAGTAACAACAGTAACAACCATTGGCAACTTACTGAAGGACTATGATTTGTCAAGCACTGCACTTAGATGTCTTGTAAATCAGTTCTTTTTAGGTGAAGATAAGAAGCGGCAGAGGATGAGATGGTTAGATAGCATCACTGGCTCATTGGACATGAATTTGTGCAAACTCCAGGAGATGGTGAAGGACAGGGAAGCCTAGCCTGCTGCAGTCCATGGGATCACAAAGAGTTGGATACAACTTTGCACCTGAACAATAACAGAAATTCATTTCAAACTAGTTTGAGTGTAAAGGAAATATATCCATACCCTGACTGTCCCCCACAAAATCAGGGCTGAGCTCTGGGAGTTCAAAAGTCAAAGGATATTTTGTGGGTCTCTCCCTTTCTCCACCTCTCTTCCATTTCTTTGTGTCCACTAATAAGCTTCTTCTACACAAGAAGGGGGCAGCTGACAGCCCTGAGCTAATGGCCTCTCAGCATCCAGTGGTCCTGACTTTGCTGTATAAAGGGCTTTTCTCTCCTGGGTTTGCTGTGTAAGATCCCAGGGAAGGTCTCTGGTTCACCAGGTGGCCAGGCATGCCCACCCTGTTACTAGGCTATGTAGTTTGCCTTCTTAGCACAGACCAGTTTTACCCATCACAACTCATCTTGTCTTCACAAAACCTTTGACCTCCAAAATGCTACTCCCTTGTGCAGATGAGGAAGCCAAGTTTCAGAGAGAAATAAAGGCACTTCCCGAGGACACACAATTCTGTGCAGTGGGTCTGGAAGCTACACCTCTTGGAAAGTGTAGAGCTACCTGCATGCTTTCTTTTTTTCTAGCATTTTTTGGGGAAGTACTTTTAGATTCACAAGAAGTTGCAAAAGTAGTGTGGAGAGTTCCAGGACCTGGTTCCATGTTTCACTGTTTCACCCAATGGTTTCTTCTTACAGGATCCTAGTACAATATCAAAACCAGGAAGTTGACATGGGTATAAAATGCATGTTTAAAAAAAATAAAAATAAAAATAAAATGCATGTTTACTTCTGTGTCACCTTATCACATGTAGTTTAGTATGACACCACAATTAAGACGTAGAACTATTCAGCTGCCACAAGATTTGTTTGTGTTGCCCCTTTATAGTTTATCCACTCCTCCCTGTATCCCTGGGGCTTCCCAGGTGGTGCTCATGGTAAAGAACCTGCCTGCAAATGCAGGAGACATAAAAGATGTGGGTTTGATCTCTAGGTCGGGAAGATCGCCTGGAGGAGGAAATGGCAACCCACTCCATTATTCTTGCCTGGAGAATTCCATGGGCAGAGGAGCCTGGCTGGCTACAGTCCATGGGGTCACAAAGAGTCAGACACGACTGAAGTGACTTAGCATGCAGCACACCGCATCCCTAACTCCTGGTCACTTCTGCTCTGTTCTCCATCCCTATGTTCTGTCAACTCTGGTTATTCACTTGGAATCATACAGGATGTGAGCGTGGACCCTGGCTTTTTCCAGGCAGTGGAAAGCCCTAGGGATCCATCCAGTTCTTTCACTGGAGACTGGTATCCCATGGCATGGCCATAGCACATTTTCTTTAACCATCCGCTGCTCTAGGGCCGTTTCAGTTGTTTCCAGAGCCTGTGCTGTTCCCTCTGAGCCCTGTCGCCTCACGGAACATGAGTAGGAGGAGAAATTACTAATTGGTCTGGCTGCAGGCCAGGGCTGTAACTATGATGAGTGAGTTACACTCTATCCAGGAGGGTAGCTGGAAGGGATGGATGAAGGCTTAGGGAATGTCATAGGGAGCCAAGGCTACTGACCAAATAGATTTTCTTGACAGCTTTGTAAATTTGGGGACATGTTTTCAAGACTGAGCTACTGAAATATTTATCTCCCTGGGACAAAAAGTCCTAAGACCGCGATCCAGTCAACCCTGCTGTTCATCAGGTGGGAGCCGTGAGGCCCTGAGTCCCTGCATTCACTCCTCCAGGAGCTGAGACTGGCGTCGTACCTGTCGAAGCTGACGATGCTGCCAGGGGGCGCGCTGCACCGGCTTCTGACCGTGGCTCTGCCCACAGCCTCGCAGGCCGAGCTGCTGGCCGCGCTGGACTCCGCGGGCCAGAAGCATCAAGACCACGCGGTGGAGAATGATGGCGGTGGGGTGCAGGCTGATCTGGGAAGGAGAGGGTGAGTGCAGGGCCAGCTGCCCTTGGAAAATGAGGTCCCAGTAGAGAGAACGGATGGGGGTGGTGAGCCGGACCGTGGGCCACAAGCACACGCCTTCCCAGGGGAACGTCCTCACTCAAGGAGCAGACAGCATCCACGGGTGTCATCATGAATCCTGGAAGTCGTGGCCAGCCCAAGGGTTTTGTCCACAGCTTCTCTTTTCATCACTGGTTCACTTCCCAATAGGATCTTAAGACAGTAATTTCCCTTGGGCTGAAAATATGCCATATACACAAGTAAATGCATAAGGGAAAAAGGCAAAGAAACACCATGGTTCTATCAGCTGGAGAAACCGGCTATTAGCATTTTGTTACAATTCTTCCTCCAGAATGGGTTTGTCTGCTGGGTTGTATGAGTGTGTGCGCATGCGCGTGAGCACACAGGTATAGGAATCCTAGTATATACAGCTTTACCTCCTGCTTTTCAGAACCTTATAGCAGAGGCAAATTTGCTTATTACCTTTCAGCTCTTGTCCACATGCAAACATCTTCCTAAATATCTATTTCGACTCTTTCTGCTATTTTTATTAACAATTTAAGATTCATGCTTTTCCCAGTTATAGAAACAGCTCCATAGATATTATTTTTCATAGCTGCTTATTATTCTACTGAGGTGTGTAGCATAGTGTATGTAATTGCTACTCTATTACTGAACATTTAGTCTGGGTTCATTTTTCCTCAATTATAGATAAGGATGCATAGATACTTTAGGATCAAGTTACAGGTGTGCAGTTTGTCAGTTAAGGGTCTTTATTAAGGAAAGGCATGCAGGGGGACCTTGGATAAGGTGAGTATAGGGCAGCCAGCGGTGCCACTTGAGAGCAGAATTTGTTAGGGGTGAGGCTGCAAGGACAGCCATGACCAACCCGGAAAGTGCTGAAGGCTAGGCAGCAAAGCCCAGACCTCAACCAGGATCCACAGGAGGCTAGGGAAGGGCATCTTGACGCCAGTGAGTCTGTGGAAATGGCGTGTGGACACGTGTGTATGCAGGTTATTTTCCCTGACTTGTAAAGGCATCCCTGACTCACAAAGGCACGATGCGTAGCTGAGGGCTAAGAGGAGGGTTGGGGTGCAAGGAAGGATCGGAGTGTGAGAACAGCTGTAGGGGAGGGGAGGGAGTCTGCAGGGGCTGGGAAGAGCAAGCATTCCTAGAGCTGGAGGGACCCAGCACAGGGGCCAGGGGCTGGATAGGAGTGTGGTGACAGGACTGGGTGTGTGGGCGCGGTCAGGGCTGGGTGTGGGCGCGGTCAGGACTGGGTGTGGGCGCGGTCAGGGCTGGGTGTGGGCGTGGTCAGGACTGGGTGTGGGCGCTGTCAGGGCTGGGTGTGGGCGCGGTCAGGACTGGGTGTGGGCGCGGTCAGGACTGGGTGTGGGCGCGGTCAGGACTGGGTGTGGGCGCGGTCAGGGCTGGGTGTGGGCGTGGTCAGGACTGGGTGTGGGCGTGGTCAGGACTGGGTGTGGGTGCGGTCAGGACTGGGTGTGGGCGCGGTCAGGACTGGGTGTGGGCGCGGTCAGGACTGGGTGTGGGCGCGGTCAGGGCTGGGTGTGGGCGCGGTCAGGGCTGGGCGTGAGCGTGGTCAGGACTGGGTGTGGGCGTGGTCAGGACTGGGTGTGGGCGTGGTCAGGGCTGGGTGTGGGCGTGGTCAGGGCTGGGTGTGGGCGTGGTCAGGACTGGGTGTGGGCGTGGTCAGGACTGGGTGTGGGCGTGGTCAGAGAGTTTCCTGTTTCAGCCTGCCTTCTCTAGTGCAATCAACACACAAAGGGCAGGTACTGGTGGTAACCCTGGAGCAGGACCCTGAATGGTCACAGCCTGGCCCAGCTGGGTGAGGGTTCTTCACCACTCCCCGCTCCGACCTCCCTGTGGCCCCTCTCAGCACCCACCCCCACCCACCCGCCACCGCCCCATAGCTGCGCAGTGTGAACCCGCAGAGGCAGAGTATGAACTGGGCCAGAGCCAGGCACCAGTGGACACTCGATCGTGTAGTGACTTGACTTGAACCCAAGCCCGTGGACATCTCACTCCCCTTGTTCTGTTCACTGTCCCTTCTTAAGGTGAGAATCGCGTGGCACTCAGGCTCCCTGCCTCACCCACCTTCTAAGCTTCCATTTGACCTTGTTAATCTTCTTATTCATGTATTTATAAAACATGTATGAGCTCCTAGTATGTCCACTGTCTTAGGCACAGGTGTAGGTGGGAGAGTAAGGGACAGTCCTGCCGCCCAGAACGTCCACTCTGGGGGAGATGGGCCACACACAAGCCAGTGCAGAGAGCTCTTTGCCTCCAGAATCTTCCATGCATTCAACTGCTGGGATGCTCAGACTCAGCTCAAGTGTCCCCACATCTCAGCAGCCTCCCTCTATCTGGCCGATGTCACGTGCTACCTGTCTGTGACCCCTGGACTGGGGACCCCTTGGGGCAGAGATTGTGTCTTGACTTGACCAGCGGATTGCTTGAACAGTGTTCACAGAGTGAGTGAGCGAGCAAATGTGACTACTCTCGGGGTTTTTCCTGTCAGCCAAACAAAGGTCATACTGAAGGAAGGAGTTCCCAGAGGGTTTTTTAGGATTATGCATCACCTGAAGGTTCTGTTCTTTTTGAAAATACAAGAATGTTCCTTCTTGCCTTCAGGAAACACCAGGGCTGGTGGCAAGCCTTAGAGAGCAAACTTCGAGGAGAACTGATAGACAAAGGCTTAGAGAAGATGCTCTGGGCCCAGAAGAGGAAGGAGAGGTAACGAGGGCGTCTGTTCGGTGGGCTGCAGAGGTTGTCAGCCAGGATGCCCATGAGCCCGGAGGGGGCGGGGGAGGGGACCGCGAAGGGAGGGGTACTGCGGACACACCACACTCCTTCCCTCAAGACAACAGTCTGTATTTGAAGTGGGCTTAGTTTATTTTTCTTTCAAGGGAGAGCATGAACACAGAGCCATACTACCAAAATGGGCTTAGTTTAAAGTGAAGTAAGTCAGACAGAAAGACAAATATCAAATGATAGCACTTATATGTGGGGTTTAAAAAAAAATGATACAAATGAACCTACTTGTAAAACAGAAATAGACTCACAGTCTTAGAAAACAAGCTTATGGAACCAAAGTAGAAAGAGGTGGGGAGGAATAAATTAGGAATATGGGATTAACATATACAGACTACTGTATATAAAATAGATAAGCAACAAGGATTTACTGTATAGCTCAGGGAACTATAGTCAGTATCTTGTAATAACCTATAATGGAAAAGAATCTGAAAAACAATACATATACAAAACTGAATCACTTTGCTTTACACCTGAAATAAACACAATATTGTAAATAAACTATCCTTCAATTTCTTTTTTTTTTTAAAGCAAAGTGAGCTTAGTCTAGGAGCTGAAGATAAGCTGCCTGCTATCAGTGGGAGAATGTTCTATCATTTATTAGCATTTTAATTGCAGTACTTATTTTAACTAATGGCTCTTTTTAAATGGAACCTCATTAGGAGAATGATTCCTTATAAAGGCTTAGATTTTATAGTTTACGAAGTCCTTTCCCATCTTGTTGCACTGAGCCTCCCCGCTTCCGGAAAGTGGGAGAAATCCCACGGTCACGCTTTACCAGCTCGGGGAGGTCAGAGGAAGAGAGAGACCCCCACTGATGAAAAGTGGCCGTGGGATTTGGGGGCACTGAACCAACCCCTCTATTTCCCTGAGCTTCCAGGCCCCTGCTCTTTTCACTCTATTGAGTACCTTTCTCTTTGAGCTGCAGTGACGGCACACCTGGAGGGCAGAGGGAAATTGGAGGCAGGGTGGTTTTAGATTGCTGCAGACAACAGACGCAGGAACTCGCGTGTTTCCCACTAGAAATTTGGTAAAAGAGCAACAGGAGTGACAAGAGTTATGTTAACCCGTTTGAAAGTAACAGGTTAAAAAAGTGATAACCAAAATGTACTGTGGAAACAATGATGCCCATGGGACGTGGCCGAGTCCTGCACCTTCCAGAAGTTCTCAGGGTGAAGCTGCAGGGACCAAACCTCCCAAAGAATCCATGATAAAAGTCTCAGAGCCATTGATAATGGGCTGGATATCAGAATTTAGTCCCAGAGGAATTAGATCAGGGTATTGAGCCAAAACCAAGAAAATTAAATTCAGGCCATATAAAGAGAAAGCGCTCCACTAAGGACTGGAAGTCAGGGGTCCTAGAGTAGGATGAGGTTGGGAGAGCAAAGGCACTCCTGGGCTGCAGTGATGTCAGTGGGCGAGTGCAGATCAGGAGGACCCTGGGCCCGTGGTGCTAGACCACCATACCTGCCTTTTCTCTGCCTCAAGGTGCTGTGGATGGATGGTGGGAAGAGCAGAGACTGTGAGTCAGAGGGAGCTGGTGGAGCTGTCTTTGAATCCTTGCTCGGATGACACAGCTGCCAGGGCAGGCGTTCATGGTGACGGGGTTGGAACCTCAAAGCCATGTGTCTTCAGGAAGGGCCCATGAGCCTCCAGTCAGAATGTCAGCCCGCAGTGACATGACCTTGTCCTGCTCTGCTTGGGCAAAGGACTCTGTGGCTTTCAGGTCATATAGGGCTCTTGGAGGGAGTCAGAGCCACTTTCAAAGGCAGCTGGGACTGAGGGACGGGACCGCTCACCAGCAGGACTCCAACAATCCTTTTACAGATATTCCCCCAGTGTGTGGCTCTGTTCTACTTCAGACACATTTTACCTAACTTCTAACTGTTGCATTACACTCAGATGTTACCAGCCTGCGTTTAGTGTGAGGCGTACAGGCAGTGGCATCCTGGACAATGTATCCCAATTGTCTGGGGGGAGATGGGGAAGCTCTGACTTGTAGCATCTGTCAGTTTCCATGGTGTGAAACACCCCCACCCTGGCTGATCCCAGGCTGACAGCAGGCTCACCAAACTCCAGAGAAGCGAACAGTCATGAGTCAGTGTGAGCCGTCTGCAGCCGCCCCTGCCATGGGCTTCAGCTAATCTCAGGGGCCACCCTGGCAACCACAGAGCAAACCCTTTAAAGTGACGCTTGACTGGGGACCTGGGGACCAGGAGGGGGTTTTCCTGGAGAAGTCTGTCGGCACACTCAGGAGAGTCAGTTGCCAAAAAAATGTCCAGTCTGATTTTCTGTTCTCTCTTTAGCATATTAAAGAAGACGTGTCCCCCTCTCAGAGAAAGAGTGATAGTCTCTGGAAAAGGAAGTTGGCCACACCTGTCCCTGGAGTCCATTGACGAACTGACCCCAGTGTCCATTGTAGGGGCAGAAGCCGTTGATCTATTAAACACGGGTGAAAAGCTCTTTATCTTCAGAAATCCAAAGGAGCCCGAGATCTCACTGCACGTTCCTCCCAGGAAGAAAAAGAAGAACTTTCTGAACGCCAAGAAGGCTGCATGGGCCTTGGGCATGAACTAGCTGAAAGGAAAGTTTCTAGAGTCTAAAGACACAAAGAGTTGTTTTCTCCTGCCCATCTGCGTGTGTGTGTTTATTATGTACAACTCACAGGTATCGATTGTACATGAAGAAGACTGACACATCTCTAACCCTCCCCCTCTCCCACCATGACTTTCGAGGACTCAATTCAGTCTGGTCCCGTGAATTCCCAGGTGGGCCATTCCCTTTAGCATCACAGGGGACATGAAGAGACAGGGGACTACCCCATGAACCCTCACTGCTTTCAGTCCCAGACCACTGAGGATCTGGGGGAGACCCCCCAACCCCCAGTTCACATCCCCGAAACACCTGACTGAATTGTGGGCTGTGTGTCAAAGGGCAAGGTTCTCAGTTCTTGTATTGTGTTTGTTACATATTCTATCTTTATCAAGGGAACTTATGATTAATAAATGCATTTTAGATAAAGCTACTCTCAAGGGAGATTCATTTTTGCTCTCTGTAGGAACCATTTATTTACTTATTTTTGATGTTTGTTTTATTTTTTAACTTTTTATTTTGTATTGGAATATAGGAGGACATGGCAACCCACTCCAGTATTCTTGCCTGGAGAATTCCATGGACAGAGAAGCCTTGTGAGCTACATACTGTCCATGAGTTGCAAAAAATCAGACACAACTGAAGTGACTTAGCATGCATGCATAGCCAACTATGAAGAAAGACATGGCAATCCACCCCAGTATTCTTGCCTGGAAAATCCCATGGACAGAGGAGTCTGGTGGGCTACAGTCTGTGGGGTCACAAATGAGTTCACATGACTTATCAACTCAACAACAAATAGCCAATTTACAATGTTATAATGGTTTCAGATGGACAGCAAAGGGACTCAGCCATACCTATACGTGTATCCATTCTCCCCCAAACTCCGCTCCCGTCCAGGCTGTCACATAACATTGAGCAGAGTTCCCTGGGCTACACAGTAGGTCCTTGTTGGGTATCCATCTTAAATATAGCCGTGTGTGCATGTCGATCGCAAACTTCCTAACTATCCCTTCCCCTTGTCCTTCCCTGCTGCAACCATAAGTTCGTTTGTTGCTTTCTGTAGGAACCATTTTTGTTTAGTCCCTTCTTGGGTTTTGGCCCTATATTGTGATGTTAAATAGAGATTTGCCCTTCATCATTCCAGGTGCCTGAAGAGGTGCCAGCCGCTGGGCTGCACCATCTCCAGCTCAAATCAGGAAACCCAGAGGCTTGAGGTCATAAAGCCAATAAGTAGCTAAGTCAGGACTCACTGAAGACTTTACGGCCCCAAACTCTCGTCCCTTCCCCTGGACTCGGTAAATGGACACACGCTTGCCCTCGCGTGTCTGCCAGCAAGCTGACTGCACACAGGTCCTGGTCTTTCACAGCATGCTCTCCTGAAGCTCCCCATCCTCACAGTGGTGGTTGGATGAGCATTTCTGAGAACCAGGCAAAGAATACAGTTACAATTGTATTAGGTCTACAGTCACCAGGGGTCTTTCCTGACGGGGGGAAATGATGGGGCAGGGAGTCCTGTCACCAGCAAGAGGAAGAAAAGGGATCCCAATGATGAAGCATCTTTTACAAGAGAATCGCTTCTGTGAATAGACCCTTCCAGCTACTTGAATCCACTTATTGATCCTTGACGATACCCAGCAGGTAGGGATAACTACTCCCATTTTACACCCAAGGAAGCTGAGAGAAAATGTTAAGTTTCTGGCAATCACACCACCTGTAAAGGAGGAATCCTCACTTTGAACCCAAGTCTGCTAACTTTCAGATCTTACCTGCCTGGAAACTCTGCATTGCCTTTGGCAACCTAAAAGCCAAGTATTTGGCCAAATATTTCTTTATTTAGCTTCACCAGGTCTTAGTTGCAGCAGGCAGGATCTTCCTTGCAGCATGCGAACAGTTAGTTGCAGCGCATGGGCTCTAGTTTCCTGACCAGGGATTGAATCAGGGTCCCCTGCTTTGGGAGTGCAGAGTCTTAGCCACTGGACCACTGTGGAGACCCCCGAAGGTCAAGTCTTATTTGCAGTTTTCCCATGGGCACCATGCAGCATGGTGATCAGGGACCTTTACTGGGGGTGGCACTTCTTCCAGGGAACTCTGTGGACCCTTAGAGTGGCTGCCAGTTGACCACATCACTGCTTTAGTGGATATGCACAAGTAAGCCGTTAAAATGCAGGAGAGAAAAGTGAATGGGGTCAGTTTTCCTATCAGAAGATCAGGTGAGCAGAGAGGAGAGAAAGGGCAGTGAGTTTCACACACAGGGTAGTGAAATGGAAAAGGCATGGTCTTTGGTATAAGCCAACACAGTTCAGATCCTGCTCTATTGCCTGTGAGTTGTGCATCCTGGGCGAGTCACCTCACCTTTCTGAACCTCATTTTCTTCATCAACAAAGGGATAATGAGATTATAAGGATTAGATGAAACCGGATCTGTGAAGCGCTTTGTGGTGGCGTGGGCCTGCCACATCTATGTCCTTCTGTATTCTTTGAAGGTGATCTGTTTCCTTTTCTAATAATTTCCTGATTCTAGGACTCAGCTGGAATTATGCATGACTGAAAGTAGATTGCACACAAAGATTTGAAAAAATATCTCAAAATTATGGGCTCAGGCTGAATGAATAAGCTATTAGCAACAACAGGAGGTGTTCAAACTGTTCAAAGTACAACATTTGAACCTAGTAATAACTCCCTATGTTAATAGACAGAGAAAGACTAACTATTGGTTTAAGTTCTCTAAACTCACTGCATGAGAAATATGAAGACATGATGGGAAAGCTTGTGCTTCTGAAATCAGGTAGATCAGGTTTAAATCTTGGCTTGACAACTTTTGAGCAAGTCACTTGACCACTCTGAACCTTAGTCTCTTTAGTCTCATTACCTGGAAAGCAGAGGTCCTAATACCTACCTTAGGGTAAGGATGTCACAAAGAATGAAGATATCACATATCATATAAAATGTTAGCATACAGTAAAATGATGGTGTGCAATAGTGCAGCTTATTTATTCTATTTTTACATATTCACAAAATTGAGTGTTATGTTTCCTTTCATTCCTGTTTCCACCCTAGGTAAAGACAGGGACCCTTCCAGAACGGCTGCACCTGCCACAATATATGGAAGGCTATCCATGAGAGGCTGCCATGAGAGCCAGACTTCAACAGTACGTGAACTATGAACTTCCAGATGTTCAAGTTGGATTTAGAAAAGGCAGAGGAACCGGAGATCAAATTGCCAACATAAGTCGGATCATTGAAAAAGCAAGAGAGTTCCAGAAAAACATCTGCTTTATTGACTATGCCAAAGCCTTTGACTGTATGGATCACAACAAACTGTGGAAAATTCTTCAAGAGACGGGAATACCAGACCTCGTGACCTGCTTCCTGAGAAATCTGTATGCAGGTCAAGAAGCAACGTTAGAACTGGACATGGAAAAACAGACTGCTTCCAAATTGGGAAAGGAGTACATCAAGACTGTGTTTTGTCACCCTGCTTATTTAACTTATATGCAGATTACATTTGGTGGAGGCAATAGCAACCCACTCCAGTCCTCTTGCCTGGAAAATCCCATGGACGGAGGAGCCTGGTGGGCTACAGTCCATGGGGTCTTAAAGAGTCGGACACAACTGAGTGCCTTCACTTTCATGCATTGGAGAAGGAATGCAACCCACTGCAGTATTCTTGCCTGGCAAATTTCATGGACAGAGGAGCCTAGTGGGCTACAGTCCATGGGATCACAGAGAGTCAGACATGACTGAGCACACACGCACACACATGAAAGCCTTGCTGTGGGTATTTGGGAGTGAGATCCAACCTGACGGGATATTTGGGAACAGCTTGGAGCTTATGACTCCAAATCTTTACCTCCAGACTGGACTTCTTCTTGGGCTCCAGACCCTTTTGTCACAGGTGCCTGTCCAACCCTGAACCCACTGGCTTCCTAGAAAACCTGTTCCACTACAGAGGTCCCCTGTCTGAGTGGATGGGACCAAGCCAGAAACCTGCAAGTCATCCTAAACATCTTCCTGTTTCTCAGTCCCCCAAATATGATGACCAGATCTTGCTGATCGTACTACTGCCTTAGCACAGTGGTATAACCTGTGCACTCCCTCTCCCCTCCATTCCTGCTTAGGTCCTGTCTCTCCCAGATGCTGCCAGCAGCCTCTCCTCTGGGTTGGCTGCAACCAGTCTGTTCTATGGTAGCCATATCTAAGTCACTCCCTTGCCGAAAGACTTCTAAAAACTTTTCATTACTTACAAGACCTCCATGAATTGTCCTCTTATAGCCTTCCTATCTGTGTCTATAAGGGAAGTCTTTACTTTCCAAGGAGCCATTGAGTGGTAATGAGACACAAAGAAGAAAGTGAATCTGGATTTCCATCCTGGATCTGCCATTTACTATGTGGCTCTAAAGAAGCCACCTAACTTGTTTTCCTTTCTTATAATAGCTTTGTCTGGTTTTGGTATTAAGGTAATGCTGATCTCATAATGATTTAGGAAGTGTTTCCTCTGCTTGTACTATCCGGAAGTGATTATGGAAAATTGGATCACTTCTTCCTTAAATAATAATAATCATATGGAATAGTTTCCAGTGAGTCCATCTGGATCTAGTGCCTTCTGCTTTGGAAGGCAAGAAATTATTGATTCAAGGACTTCAATAGATATAAACCAGTTTAGATAGTCTTTTACTTCTTGTGTGAGTTTTGGTACTGTGTATCTATCCAGAAACTGATCCATTTCATATAAGTTATCAAATATGCAGCATAAAGTTTTGGAAGATACTTGTTTGTCTTCCTTTTAATATCCATGAGAATAGTTGTGATGACCATACTTTCATTTCTGATTCATAATAGCTTATTCTTTTTCTGTCCCCCGATTAACATAACTACATATATAGCAATTTCACTGATCTTCTTCAAGAACCAGAACTTATATAAGAGCCTCATTTTCTTGATCTTTTATTGTCCTATTTTTAATTTCCTTGACTTATATTTAAA